AAGAGGTGGCAGGCCTAGTGACACTGAAGCACGTGTATGAGATCGCCCGTGTCAAAGCTCAGGATGACGCCTTCGCCTTGCAGGATGTGCCCCTGTCCTCTGTTGTCCGCTCCATCATTGGCTCTGCCCGTTCCCTGGGCATTCGTGTGGTGAAGGAGTGAGTTTCCGGGGAAGCTCAGTGTGAGGGGAGGACCTGGAAAGTTCTTGACTCTGGGACAAAGCTGAGGGCCCACGGAGTGGGAGAGTCAGCTTCTGAGTTAATGGATCTTAGATTCTTGGGAGTGGGGAGCCTCATTCATTCATTTGGAATATACTTGTTAAGTACCTATCACGTGTTAGGCATTGTTCTGGACACTGGATGCAGCTAGGAAGGAGGTAGCCGTGCTTGACCTTGCTTTCTAAGGAACTCAGAGTCCAGAGATGGAGGCAGATCCATAAATGGAGCAGTAGACTGCCAGATGGTCAGTGTTGATAAAAGGAACTACAGGTATACTCAGAACAGGGAGCAGAGCCCTGGGAAGTGAGGTCAAGGACTGGGGCAAGCATTGCAAGAAGTAGAAAAGTCCCTGTGAAGGATGTCAGGTGAAGGAATGGAGCAAAGAAGCGCAGTGTGACCTGGGTATATAATACTAGAGGCAGAATGGGACATAGTAGGACGTGAGCCAAACGGACTAATTGGTTCTCAAATTCAGACTTGATCCTGAGGCCAGCAGCAGGCCCCCTCATGGGACTTTGGATGGCCTCAGAAATTGTTTCCTTGAAGTGAGATGTAGAGTGGGAGAGCCTCTGGCTAGACGACAGCAGGGGCAACACTCAAACCTTCGCTGGCCTCTTGCTGCTGGTGTCACACCCCATGCAAAGGCTGACGGTTGGTTGTTTCCCAAGAGGAGTGGGGTTAAGCGTGGAACAGGGATAGACTTTACTTTGTTCAGATCTTTACTTGTGTTGGGAGTACAGAAGTGAATGAATCTGATCCTTGCTCTGAAAGAGATATGCATGCACCACCTGATGACTTCATTTTACAAAATGTTTTGGGGTGCAGAGGAAGGGCAGGTTAATTTGGACTAGGGTGTAGCTGTACTCATCCTCAAAAGATGAGTAGGGCTTTAAGAAAGGAGTAGAAGGCAGAGGTGATAGTGGGGTGGCAATTCTGGCAGAGGAAACAGATGAACAAAGGTATGGGGGCAGGAGGGGAGAGGGGTTCTGAGACAGTGACATGGTGCTGTGAGCTCCCCACCAGTGACCAGCCCTTCACTTACCGTCTTGTTTTTCTGTACCTGCAGCCTCAGTTCAGAAGAGCTGGCAGCTTTCCAGAAGGAGCGAGCCCTGTTCCTGGCTGCTCAGAAAGAGGCAGATTTGGCAGCCCAGGCAGAAGCTGCCAAGAAGTGACCCCTGTCCCCGACCCTCCAGGATTTTGAAGGGGGCCAGTTGGGAAGGCTGGGCCAGAGGGGAGGAAGGGAGGTCACATCAACCTGATTATATTTTTCTGACTTTAAATTATGTATTTTTGCACGTGTGGTTATATCAAAAGGATCAAGTGTGAATAAACATCTTTTGTCACCCACTCTCAGTTTCTGCCTTGGGACCCCAGAGAAAGGGACCTCATCCACGCAGAGCGACTGCCCAGGATCTGAATTGGCAGGGGTAGCAGAAAATCCTGTGTTTTCCCACTTTCCAGGGGTGAGAGAAAGGGCAAGGTATGTGGGGGCATGGCTGCTGGACTTGGGTGTACAGAGGCAGCAGATGTTGTTTCTGCTTCCATCAGAAATGCCTCCTATCTCTTGGGGACTTGCCACCTCAACAGAAACAGAACCCTTTCGGGACTTCAGGTCACAGCCCCAAGCAGGGTTGCTACATGGAGTGCCCTGGATCCCAAAGGCTACTTCAGGCCCCTCTATTAAGCTGACCCTGGCTCTGAGTCAGGTGATATCTGAATGTGAATTATTGTGGGGTTTATGGCTACAGACCCATGGAAGAAGCAAAGCATCAGTAGGTACCTGCCCATGGTGGGAGAAGTCCTTGGGAAGCCCTGGCCTTTTGTTTTCCCATTAGTCATAATATCAAGGACTATTGTCCTCTCAGAGAAGAGAGGAGGAGTTGGGGGAAAAATGGGATTCACATTTACTAAGCACCTGTTATGTGCTAGGTACTTGGTTTTACACCGAGAAGATTTGGAAAGCATAGGAAAAATCCTACAAGAAAAGAAAAGCCTCAAGTAATCCCCTCACCTAGATGAGATTCCTGGCAATATTGTGGTATATATCTTTTCTACTTGTTTTTTTTTCTTTGTGTTTATATATAATACTTTAAGAATAAAACAAATTTGGGTCATACTCTAGATACTGTTGTATTTTACTTGTAACTTGGCAATGATTTAGAACATTTTTTCATTATTAATCATCTTCCTAAAACAATTTTTAATGGCTACTTAGTATTCTGTCTTATGGGTAGACCATTATTTAACCAAGCCCTCAACTGTTGGGTAGGTTTGTTGTTTGCATTAAAAAAAAAAATACGGGCCTCCCTGGTGGCGCAGTGGTTGAGAGTCCGCCTGCCGATGCAGGGGATACGGGTTCGTGCCCCGGTCCGGGAGGATCCCACATGCCGCGGAGCGGCTGGGCCCGTGAGCCATGGCCGCTGAGCTTGCACGTCCGGCAACGGGAAAGGCCACGACAGTGAGAGGCCCACATATCGCAAAAAAAAAATACACACAACCCCGTGATGAACATCATTTGGTCCTCTGCTTCAGGGTCTCCCAAAACTTCAATCAAGGTGTCAGCTGGGGCTGTGGTCTCATCTGAGGCTTGACTGGGGAAGGATCCACTTTCAAACTCATGTCGTTGTCGGCAGCATTTAATTCTTTCTGAGCAGTTGCATGAGGGCCTCAATTTCTTGCCGGTTATCAGTCAGAGGCCACACTCATTTCCATTCTCTCTAGCTGTGTTGTCTTGGGCAAGTTACTTAACTACTCTGTGCTTTAGGTCCATCATCTATAAGATAGAGAAAATAGTGCTTATCTCAAAAGGTTGAAGAAATAACTGCATATACGGCCAGTTAATTTATGACAAAGGAGCCTAGAATATACAATGGGGAAAGGACAGTCCCTTCAATAAATGGTGTTGAGAAAAGTGGACAACCACATGCAAGAGAATGAAACCTTAAAATTTAACTCAAAATAGGTTAAAGACTTGAGCATAAGACCTGAAACCATAAAACTCCTAGAAGAAAACAGACTCCTTGACATTGGTCTTGGCAGTGAGTTTTTTTATTTGACTGCAAAAGCAAAGGCAACAAAGCAAAAACAAACAATGGGACTACATCAAACTAAAAAGCTGCACAGCAAAGGAAACCATCAACAAAATGAAAAAGCAATGTACAGAATAGGAGAAAAAGATTTATAAATCATATACCTGATAAGGAGTTAATATCCATAGTATATAAAGAACTCATACAACTCAATAGCAAAAACAAAAAACAAAAAAACAAAAGAATCACACACACACGTATACTCTAGTATCATTCAAGTACAAGCAGTTCTCTTGCTTCGCAACTCCCTTTAGCCACTGCCCCATTTCTCTGGGGTTTTTTTTGTTTTTTTTTTGTTTTTTTTGCGGTATACGGGCCTCTCACTATCGCGGCCTCTCCTGTTGCGGAGCACAGGCTCCGGACGCGCAGGCTCAGCGGCCATGGCTCACGGGCGCAGCCGCTCTGCGGCATGCGGGATCCTCCCGCACCAGGGCACGAACCCGTGTCCTCCGCATCGGCAGGCGGACTGCGCCACCAGGGAAGCTCCCATTTCTCTGTTTTCTTTCACTGTAACAGTTAAAAGAATTGTCTGAACAGACTGTCTATACTTTTCATCTCCCATTTACTCTTTACTTGTAATGATTTTTGTCTCAAAGTCCATTGTGTCTATTATTAAATATACCTACACCAATCTCTCTTTTGTTTAGAGTGAGCACAATATATCTTTGTTTTTACATCCTTTCCACCTTTTCCTATTATGTTTTAGATGTTCTTGTAACAGAATTAGTTGGTGTGGTAGCCACCTTCCAAAATGGCTCTCAAACCCTACCTCCTAGTAATTAACACTCCCCCACATTGTGCTGGGGTTAGTCTATGTCACCAAGACTGGCAGAAGTGCTGGCATGTCACTTCCAAGATTAGGTCATCCTAATCCCCACAGCTCCCATCTTGGTTACCTTGTCTCCTTTATAGTTGCACACACCCACCTCTCTCCTACTATCCTAATCCCTGGCAACCACTTTTCTGTTCTCTACCTCTATTATAGGGAGGTCTTTGTCCTCATTTCTAGAATGTTATATGAGTGAACTCATACAGTATATGTCCTTTTGAGGTTGTTTTCTTTTCTCACCCAGTATAATACCTTTGAGATCCATCCAAGTTGTTGTGTGTATTAATAGTCTGTTCCTTTTTTATTGCTGAATAGTATTCCAAGGTATGGATGTACCACAATTTGTTTAATCATTTATCTATTGAAGGGCATTTAGTTGTTTCCACTTTTTGGCTATTACAAATAAAGGTGTTATTCTTGAAAGATGTAATTTTCATTCCTCTGGGATAAATGCCCAGGAGTGCAATTGCTGGGTCATATAGTAAGTGTGTTTTCCGTTGTTTAAGAAACCTCAAAATTATTTTCCAGAGTAACTGTACATTACTTACACTGCCCCAGCAATATATGAATGATCCAGTTTCTCTGCAGCCTCATCAGAACTTGATGTTGTTATTATTTTAGTTGTTATAATAGGTGGGTTGTGATATCTTGTTGTGGTCTTAATTTGTGTTTCCATAATGTCTAGGGTTGTTGAAAATCTTTTCATGTGCTTATTTGCTATATATCTGTGTTCTTTGGTGAATTGTCTCTTTTTTGGTCCATTTTCTTTTCTTTCTTTTTCTTTTCTTTTTTTTTTTGGCTGCACTGTGTGGCTTGTGGGATCTTAGTTCCCCAACCAGGGGTTGAACCTGGGCCCTTGGCAGTGGGCCCAGTGAAAGTGCCGAGTCCTAACCACTGGACAGCCAGGGAATTCCCTTTTGTCCATTTTCTAATGAATTGTTGTGTTTTTTTTTAACTGCTGTGTTTTGAGAGTTTTAGATAGGAGCTCTTTGTCAGGTATGTGGTCTGCAAATATTTTCTCCCATTGTGTAGCTTGTTTTTTCATCCTCTTAACAAGATCTTTCACAGAGCAAAAGTTTTCAATCTCAATAAAGTCCAATTTATCAATTATTTTCTTTTGTGGATCATGCTTTTGGTGTCATGCCTAAGAACTCTTCACCAAACCCTTGGTACCTAAGATTTTCTCCTATGTTTTTTCCTAAAATGTTATATTTATGGCTTATTTTTAGCTCTCTGTCCACGTCATGAAAACTTTATTATAGCTATGTCTTCTTTTATTTATTTATTTATTTATTTATTTATTTATTTATTTTTGCGGTACGTGGCCCTCTCACTGTTGTGGCCTCTCCCGTTGCGGAGCACAGGCTCTGGACGCGCAGACTCAGTGGCCATGGCTCACGGGCCCAGCCCCTCCACGGCATGTGGGATCTTCCTGGACCGGGGCATGAACCCACATCCCCCGCATCGGCAGGCGGACTCCCAACCACCGCGCCACCAGGGAAGCCCACCCCCTACTTCTGATGATATCAGTGACTTCCATACTTGCACCTTTGATATTTTTCAATTTTTGTTGTACTTCTGCCACAGCTCCACAGTGAGAGGAGCAGATGATTTCTAGCTATTGTGTGGCTACTCCTTCCCCTGGACTATTTGGGTGTGCTCAGTTACAGCACTGTGTCAGATGTCTTCCAACTAAACAATGATTACATTGCTTTTTTCCTCTATTCTGTAGATATCTTAGTCACTGGCCTGCAGCAAAGCTGGAATGAAGTCTCAGAGGTATATTTCAACTTGCAAAACAATCGTGAAGGTTGGCCTTGCATTTTCATAAGGCAGTTTGTGTTTTCTTAAGGAGTTCTTATCCTGTGCCTAAATGGCTTTACTTGCCTCATGAGAATCAGCTGACTATGTGTGTGTGACTTCATTGAACCTTTTAAGAAACTGTTTCTTGTTATTTTCAACTTTGGCATTTCCAGGCAAAAATTTGCATAGATATTTGCATAGAAAATATGAGAGTCTGCTTCCAAGCCTCCTAGCAGGGACTTTGTATCAAAAGTGAAAAGGAAAGAAATCCTTATACATGGCTACTTGGGTGTAACTAAGAATCAATCTAGACATCCTGGTTTGAAATTAGCTATGTCTTCTTAAGCACCATGTCCTCTTAAACCATATCCACAGTATAGTTATGTTTTACATTTAAGTCTATGACCCATTTTGAGTTAATTTTTGTATAAAGTATGAGGCTTAGGTTGAA